ATCATTATCTAAAGGTTATACTCGAGTACAGTATGTCAGTAAATGTTAGATTTGACCACTGCTAGAAGCACTTCACAACAATGAATTTTAAAATTTCTGCACACAGACTTCAAAACAGACAGATCTCAGTCAACTTGGTGCAGTGTAATAGTTGTTATGTTCTATCTGAAGCAGTGATGTTACCTTGGACACCAGGCTGGTTCCTCTCAGCACATCCATAGCCCTTGGACACAACACCTTGCAGCTCACCATTACACACAACCCACCCTGAGAGAGAGAGAATCGTTGTACATTCACTCTAAACCTCTGAAACACAGACAGGACAATTAAGTACTTTTAAATATGAACGAGAAGGAACTCCAAGTACTCCCTGTTAAACAAACCAGGTTAGAAAAGCGGAGATACATACCTGGCAGCAATCCTTGCCTCCCTCCACATATCTAGCACAGAACATTGTGTAGTCGATCATGCCCGGGTAGGAATTGTAGTCTTCATCAGACAAGATGAGGTTATTCAGCCTGTTGCTGTCAGCAGCTGTAGCAAATTCACTGTGCAGTAGAAATGTTGGAGATGGCAGTCGTTTTGTTTAGACAAGCTTCATAATCTAAGTTCCACTGAAACAACAGTTTTCAAAGAAATCTAACTCACTGGAGCTCATGGTGTTGCCCCAGCCAGAGACTGCGCACATGGTGCCAGCGGGAGCACAGCTGGAGGGCAGAGCCACCGGCTGCATGTGCTGGTTGAGGGTGGCGGGTTCCCCAGCTTAAGCAGCATAATGTCATTCTCAGGAGTGTTAGGCATCGTAGCAGAGGCAACACATTACAGCATAAGCACAACATTTGTAGTTTCACCAGTTTGGGTGTCAAAATTATCCACACACTGACTGCCCTTCTTCTACTTCGTCAGCTGGGAATAATATTTGTAAAACCCTTTTTAGTTTTGCAGTGTTATGTCAACAATATCTTTATGCAGACACACAATGACAAAAATGAAATGAAGCAAATGGAGGTCAAGTTGAAGAATTTTATTGACTATGATGGAAACTGACTGCACATTGTTCCGAACTCTATAATTCATGGAGCTAGAATGATGGAATAAATGCAGCAGATTAAGATGGTGATCAAAGGATCAGATTTAATAGCTGGCCATGGTGCTCTCCAGCCAGTCGTTGAAGATGCAGACCTGTGAATGGAGACACAACAAGACTTGTTAGGACAGACAGCCAGCAGCTTATATGGTGACATTTTACTGGATGTGTAAACTGTATGTTTTTCAGAAT